ATGGCTCTTGGGCATTTTATTGGAGGAACATAGTTAAAAGAAAGAAAAAAAATCTCACTAACTGTGGAGTATTCTTTTAATTTCTAGTCTGTTCCTTTATCTATCTATCTATCTATCTATCTATCTATCTATCTATCTATCTAATTCAATCTATCTATCTATCTCATCTATCTATTCATTATCTATCTATCTATCGTTCTATCTCAATCTATTATCTATCTGTCTATCTATCTATATCTATTTCAATCTGTTCACATCTATCTATCTATCTATTATATACCGTACCTATGAATAATAATTGGTATGTTCCATTCCTCATAATTACATTGGACAATATTGTAATATGATGTTTATGTAGTCCACCACTAGGCGTGGTTTTTCTACATCACGCCGCTGACGAGTATTGTATTTTGTTGATGTTATAAAGATTATCATTTCATTTCCAACCTCTGCTTTGGTTATGCCTCATTCAGTAACCTTTTCTATCTTACAACACTATCTATCTATCTATCTATCTATCTATCTATCTATCTATCTCAGTCTATCCCTATCTATCTATCTATCTATCTATCTATCTATCTATCTATCTATCTCAGTCTGTTCGTATATATTATCTATTTATCCCAGTCTATTCGTATCTATCTATCTATCTATCTATCTATCTATCTAATCTCAGTCTATTTATATCTATCTATCTAATCTATCTCCAGAAGTTCCAGATGTTCAAGTTGGGAGATCTGTCCCTTTATGTTGAACTTGGCAGTGGTCAGCAACAGGTTCAGGATGATGAGGGCCTGAAGTCGATAAAACCAATGACTTCAGTTATCAATTATAGGCATTTAAGAATATTTGGGGAGATTTCATAATTTATTTTGTTCAGGTTACGTTTCAACTGTTTTATGTATATAGCTTCAAGAATTTTTAGCTTTTGTTTATTGTTTCCATGTTTAAGTATAGTTGTGTTTTCAACAAGGATTTTCCTGAATTGTGTAAGCGGCCAGGCATGTTGTTTTAAATGCCTAAAAATGTTTGAGTTATCATTCAAATGTAGTGTCAAGCGTCGTGAAAGCGAGTTTCTGGTGTGACCAACATAAATATTATTTAATTCGTTGGAGATACAATCTCCTAAAGGGCACTTGAATTTGTAAACTATGTTGGTATTTTTGCAAATCGCTAACCGGGGGAGAAGAATCATTGCGAATAATTGAGTTGGATATATTAGATTTAGTGTAGTATATGATTAACTTAATTTTTTTGCTAGGATCTGTTGTAGATATATTAGTATTTACTAATTTTTTATCTTGTTTATAATTAGTATGCATTTAATTATGATATAGGAGATTAATATGTTTGAGATTAGTAGAAGCAGTATTATGTACTATTTGCTTAGTATTGAGAACCTCCACAAATATTCTTAAATGTCTATAATTGGTAACAGAAGCCATTGGTTTATACCAATGGCTTCCCATACTTAATACTTCTCGAATTCATTCTCGCGTGGTCATGTGTGACGTCATGAGTTGTGGTGCGATTTTCGCTTCCAGCGTCTTATATGCACGTGTTTATCGTTGGTTGGAAATCATCCATGTTAACAGAAACAGACTATCATCACTTTCTTATCCGTGTATTGCATAATATATTGTACTGTAATTGTCATCTTTGATAACGGCTTATGTAAGCCGAAAGCTTTGATTGGATTAAAAAATATGTATCATTATTGTGATTTTCTTTCTTCGTTTAATGATAATGTTATTAAGCTTATCAGACGATATGAAAAGAATTTACATAAAATAAATAGACAACACTTGTCTATATTATTTAATGAAACATGTATGGATGAAAAAATTACCCAGTAATCTTAAAAAATTAAGAAAATATTCTAAGAAATCTAATATTTTCTTCAATTCTATCTACTTTGGCGTTATAGTCTTAACTTACGAAGACACTTGCTGAGGTTATGTTGTAAAATAACAAAAAATCTTAACTATACAATGGTTACTGTTCGTCATTTTTGATAATATCGCCTTTGGACATCTGTATTTACAAAAATCGACACGTTTATACACGTAAAATAAATTCAATATTCTTTTAAAAATATTTTTGGGGTGTTGAATTTTGAGTTTTTCCATTTACAATTATTAAATACAGTCTTAATTTAATAACAATATCACTGGAAGGGATACAAATTAATACAGAATTTTAAAAGATGTATAACTTTATAAATTATTGTAATTAAAATTTTAAAAAATTTTTCGTAAAAATTCATTATTCATTTAAGACAATAGTGTCTATAACATGTCTTATTCGTTAAAGCAATTAAAACCATTTTTAATGAAATAATATCTTTTTCATTTTACAATTCCGAGCAGATTTTCTGTAACTGTTCGACGAAAAAAAAATTCATGATTTAAATTCTCCAAGACTTATGATACCAACATTAAGCGCTACAAAAATGAATATCACGAAATTTCATAAGGGGGGGGGGCGTTAACAGATTTAAAGAAAATTTAGAAAGATTTTCTAAAAGAAACATTTAAAAAATAATATCAATTCTTAAAAGTTTCTTTAAAATTCGACAATCATCTGATTTTTACATGAATTTCCAAATCAGTTTTGACTACGAAAAGAGGCTGAAATTTCCCAGTCTAATTTCTGCGTAACCACTGACGCAAGAGAAACAAAAATTTTATCCTAAACTTCAAAGGTCCAAAAAGGAATAAAAATATAATTTAATAATCAAAAAATGCTTTCGTCTTCCCTTTTATTAATGACATAAAGATTTTGACAATAAAACTTAGATTTTATTAAGTTTGGGTCAATTTTCATTACGTGTGTTCATTTTTTACCGAATCTCTGATGGTACACACACACACAAACACACAGACATATATATATATATATATATATATATATATGTTTCATTAAAGACGACAGACAAGGTACTACGATTAAGATTTTTATTTAATTTTTCTTTTGTTTGAACAAATGTTTCCTTTTCTAGACACAGAGTGTGTAGAAACTGCCCAATTTCGAG